TTATCCCTTTAAGTACTTTAGATTCGAAAGGTTACAGGTATATCAATAAAGTTGGAGTTTTAAAAGTTAGCAAAGGTGCTAGGGTTATGTTAAGGTGGTAGAAAAAGTCTAGATTATATGTATTGGAAGGTTTGATGATCATTGTAGAAGTACTTGCAGCTTATGGTTTGATAAGCCATGACTCATGTAGAGTTAGTTGTGATCAGATTGTTTGTAGTGGTTCGAACAATAATTTTGGAAAACCTTCCATTCACTCTACTGGAGCTAGTTGTGATCTTGATGATCATGTCACTCGTGATGATTTGAGCAGGTTTGATAACTTAGGTGGAGTTAGTGTGACTTGTGGTGATTCAGGCATGTTTTTGCGTTGCTCATGGTAAATTGAGTAGGTTAAGTGACTCGGTTGGAGTTGGAAGTGAATGGATAATTCAAGGAAGACTGGGGCCCAAGATTGTTTTGCTAGCATGCAGGATTTGGATTTGGTTCACAATTGCTGAATATGCTCGACAGAGGCATGGTGTACTCGGAAGGGACGTGGTGGAAGAGTTGGAGAATGAATTGAAGAGCAGTTTCCTTGTTTTGAAATTTGTGTCAATGTGGAGTTTATTAGATTATAACTCAAATACCATGTGTTTTGGAAGTTGGTACACGGAGGAAGCCTAAATAATATTGGATTAGAAGTCAAGACAGATAAGGAATCAAATTTCATCATGGATGAAATGTTTGATTGGTATAAGGGCTTTGGGTCGGTGAAGGGAATTTTTGTGCATTCTATTTCATTTGTAACTCTATGATTTGACTCCTATAAATACTTCACAAGGTGTAGGATCTTGGCAGAAAAAGCATAACAATTAGGTCATTGTTGGATACAATAGAAATTTAAGAGAATTGAGATTTAGATAGAGATATTAAATCTTCTATAGACAATTTTAGTTTCTTAGTATAATAAATTATTTTCTTCTTCCACAAAAATTTTGTTTATCGTGTGATCCAATTATTTTCATAGTACTCATATTTTCTTATTCTTTAATTATTTGGCCGGATTCTTAACACTTTTCTACCTTGTTATGGAACACAACTTCTCTTCGTATTGTCTACTGCTCTTGGTCTAATGTGAGTGAACTAAACTCCTCATCTGGGACCTAATTTGGGTCTAAGCACAATTTAGGATGAAATCCAGTTTATCAAAGCCACCAATAATCTTCTCGTCCCGTTAAAGATATTCTTACAATACTATTTCCAATCAACAAGTTAGTATCTCACTTATCTAACTATGAGGGGATGTACACCTGAATGTACACCTTGAAATGTATAACTAGCATTTTTCTATTAATTGTGCTTTGTCCTGTAAAAGAAGAAAGGATCAAAAGCAATCTTTTTGTCGCACTGAGAAATTTGATAATATCTTTCTTAATTTTGGTACCATTTGACTATCACAGTAGTTAATGAGAAAATGCACCCATTTTACTTCAATTCAATCATTCCATTCACTGATTTTGATGAACGTTTAGGGGCCGCTATCTGACATTTAACTAAAGCTCATGATTAAAGGTTTTTGAGATTCTCAAATATATGGAGAATCTTATCATTTCTCTTTATCAAATTGAGAGCTATCAAATTGTGTAATATGTTCGATTTTAGATAATATATTTAAAAGATAATATTTTGATACGTGGATTAGATTTTATATAATTCTTTTCAGTTTAAATAAAAGACGAGCTTGTCAACCTAACATACCTCAACGAGTTCATCAGATTGAGTAGTCTACAACTCCCTTAACACCTAAAGTGAGACTACACTTCAAACCAAACGAGTTGGCCTAGAACTCATGGCTACACATAGAGCATACTCAACCTTTAATAAAATTATATTAGAATTTAAATATCTAACTAGCTCGTCTTTCATACTTATTTCAACACATATATAATCAACCCAATTAAGACTGCACAACTATCATTATAACCTTGATAAAGTGGCAATAGTGGTTCGTGGAGACATCCTACCAATTACCATCAACTACAAGTCATATAAAATCAAGACCAAGCTTCATCAAATGGATAACAAATCTTGCACATAAAAGTGCTTAAAAATGACATATGTTGCACTATGAACCTTACGTATCTTTAATTTCTTAATAACAATGCACAGTATGTGATGCTATACGACATGTTTGTTATGCTATACTAAATAAAATGAAGAAAAATATGTAATTACTTCGAATATATTATGCCCCTGTTTGGTGTAATTAAAAATCAAAGTTTAGTAGATTTTGAAAAAAGTTGATGAAAATATAGTGTTGAAAAGTTGTGATCCGTAATCAAATTAATTATTGACTTTGATTAAAATTAATTTTAATCCCATCACGACTATATATATTTTAAGCAAAAAAGTATTAATGAAGCTTGATGGCCCCCTATTAAAAGGAGAGAATGCAGGCTACTTGACTTGTATTAAGAAACCACGTAAGGGAATGTAAAGCCTGCTTAAAGGGCAACAAGAATCTCCTCAAAAGCTAAAGAATGGAATCTAATAGGAGACACGAATCAATTTGTAGTTACTTTTTGACCACTTATATTTTTTCTACTTAACCATGCCCATGAGAATGTCAATGAAACCAACTTATTGAAAAAATGTTATCTCAAAGGCTAGAGAATCCTATGTGAACAACAATATAACTTTTGTTAATTAGATACTTTGTTGATTGCGACTTTAGTTACTTAAGATGTCTTCTTAACTCCAACTAAAGATTTTTATGACTTTTTAAATATAACGTACTGAGTAATGTTATTTATAATCATTCACTGTCATAGTCGTTTTATATGGTATACATGTGACAATTAGCGATATGATGCATTAATGTAGTAGTCGAATAACGTCTCATGCATCAAATTCTTAACCACCACATGTATGTCAGGTGTGGTTATTGCGATAGTGAACGATTGCAATTAACATTATTTTAATGTACTACATGAAGAGTCCAACACGGGCAAAACTTTAAACAATGATCCATAAAACACAAATACTGAGATTGGCCAACTAGAAGGAATTTCTAAATAACTTAATAAAATGGATATGACTGCTATGGATGGTTTGATACTAAATAAACGTGTGTATCACCT